CAAAAATGAAAATAATGAAAAACTATATCAATGAAGGGTATACATGAAAGAGCAGACTTAAATTTTTATTTGATCATATGAAATCTGACACATACCAAGCTCTATATATCCAGTGCAATATTGCGAGATTGCATGAAGTTTTCAAAATATTTAGGTCCTCAATGAAATGAGAAAAAAAAATATAAAAACAATCACTATACAAATAGAAAATATAAATGTACAAATACAAAATATAAAAACAATCACTAAATAAGCTGTACAGCTTACTGGATCCCTTTGTGTCAAAGGGATCCAAACTACGAATCACTTCATGGAAACACAAATGGCTTTCACTGAATCCAAGGGCCTCAACCTAGAAACCACAATATTGCTATTCAGTACAAGAAGAGCTAATAACAGGTAACTGGCCTATAAAATGCCTACGACAGGAATAGTTTATTATCGTGATCCCTTCATAGTTGAGGGAAGTCCTAACCTTTGTTTTGCCCCATCCAGACAAGGGAAGTCAGATCTGCCTACTCATCTTTGCTGCTACAGCCAGGATGCTGCTGCAGAATGATACAGTCAGAACACTAAGTACAGGAGCTTCTACAACCACAGTGTGGCTTTAGTCCATAAATATACACATGTGCGTTTATCTTGACCTGCTACTCAAACAGGATGTAAATTCTCATGTATCTCAAAGAAATTACATAGTATTAAGGACATTTCTATAACTAGCCTCTGGGATTTTAAAGGACAGGTCCAAACACTGGAAGTGATATAAGGGACACAGATGTAAGAGGTCTACTATGGAAGGAGATTAAAAAAAAAAAAAAAAGGGACAGAATAACCTCAGTACAAAATTACTACAAGACTGCAATATCAGTTGTGCCCCTTCAGCTCTGAGGTACATTCCATTCATTCGGTCCTTTCCCTTGATTACTAGTTCCATTACTTTTTTCCTCTTCATTACAAAACCATAGTCCTGTCTCTTGACAGAAACTTTCCTTGGTCAACCAATTTCAATAATCCAGGAAGCAGTTTAGTCAGTATCACTTTAACAAGGTGTTAAAAACTAGTATAAATAAGTAACTAAGTAGTAAGTAAAATAAGTAACTTAAGAATTTAATGGTCATTTTCAGCTTTCAGTTGCAAATTCAGACTTATCTGCATCTCTGTCTTCAGCAAGCACCTCCAGGATGTAAAAGCATTTTGACTGAAATAATCAGAGCCCATCCAACGTTATTTCACCTCTTCTTTATGGTTACAAAATTGGAGTTGCCAAATCACTCTGTCCTTAAAACAGCACCTATATCAGATGTGTTATCGGCTAGATCATAGGCTACCTATAATACCATCATCCATTTTCTCTCATTTTTCAATTTCCCTCATTCCTTCTTCACCAGTCAGTACAATTTCTGAAATAACTAATATTCACTCAAATAGTCCTGCTAATTCTGTTTTTTTCTGACAGCTTCTTCACAAATATCTGTGCCTTAATCAGACCATTTTCTCTCTGCCCCCTAGTTTGTACTTTATTTCAGATGCCACAGAAGAAGTGTTCCTACTTTAATTTTTTTCAATTTGCTTTCAGTTTTGTGGTAATTCTCTTTTCTTTTTCTCCCTTTAATCTTAGAAGCATGTGAGCTACAAGCCATGGGAATCTTTTCCAATTGGCACAGGGGTCCAAATCTGTCCAGAGAGATACCTGTATTTCACATGGACTGAAGCATCCTGAGGGAGCACAGGAGAGCAGGAGCCTCAGCTAATGGTCTAAACAGGTACATTCAGTCCACCATTTTATCACATCTACATCTGGAGGTGATTTTCACTTTACCTCCAACACAGAATTTGGCAATTCAGAATTTTGGCAAGCAGAGTCGTTCATTACAGCATAAGGTAAGAAAATTAATTTCTCATCTCACCCACTTTGGATTTCAAAGCAGTCAATGATGTAACAGCTTTTGGATAAACATGTGGCTTAGAGCAACTTAGCCCTGTTATCACTCAGCCAATAGCCCACTCAAGGGAACGTAAAACCAAACAGAATTACTCCACTTGTCCACCCTACAGGTCCTTTAAATCATACACCTCCCTATCAGCCAATATTACTTGACTATGATATTCCAGTGCACTTTCCCAGTTACAGCTGTTAGACTTTATTTCAATTCTGAGAACACCCTTATTTAACACACTATGAATTGATCTATGACTTACAATTGGCACTTCTGGGAAAAATCAGAATGGAAAACAGGTTGTTTAAGGAGCTCTTCAGAAAGGTCATTGCTTATAACTGCTCCTTCTAATCCATGAAGGCTCTGAAACTTGATCGTCTCAGGTCACCACAGCCTCCCAGTTGATGACAAAACCCTGCTGAATACTGTAATGATCCAAATAAGCAGATGCACAGGAAGGGTGCATCTTCAAAGTCCTCTTAAGTGAGTACAAGTGAGACAGAGTGTTGTATGCAACAAGGAGACACAAGTCTCTGAATACTGGAAACAGTGGAACCTAGTGGTGTACAGGTTTGTACAGTCATTTGACACTCTAACTCAATTCATATTAAGATTCCATGTAAACAGAGTGTCATCCAAGAATTCACAGGAGAGAGCAGTTACAAATATCAAAGCTGGAAGACAAATCTTCATAGACTTTCATATCTTTGATAATCCACAGGGGAGAGAACTTTGACCAGAAGTGGCTTAAGTTTAAGATGACAAAAACTTCTGAAGCCTTCTCCACATCTCAGGTATCCATAAGGGTTCTCATTTGAGTGAGTCTTCAAGGTATAACAAGATTAAATTTATGCCACAATCTTATGTTCTCACCTCTGCCTGGCCAACTGACCTCCCACACATTCTTGTGAGAGTTGGGCCACTGGGATTCCTGCTTTTCCATTACCATTGATTGTGTTCGGAAGCCAATGGTCAAAAGCAAAGTGGGATTAAGCATCTCCGTATTATTTCCATAGAAAGCAGGCCACAAATAAGGAACAGGAGACATTCATCCATACACATCCAAGTGAAAAACCAATGATCCAGCAGCAGTTCTAGGTTACCCCATTCTGTACTATTGCTGCACTGCTGTCTACTGGATGAAGCAAGGCAAAAGGATCCTTGCAGGTTAGACAACCCAGTAAGCAGAGCTTTAAACCAGAAAAAAACAGGAGAAAGTGATTCCTGAACAAGTAAGGAAGATGTGAAAGGCAAGCCAAGGGCCTGAGTGGTAACAATGAAAGAGACACAGCAATCCACAAAACAGAGCTGAATTAGATTCTCTCCAAGCATAGGCATGTAAAGAAGGAAGTGCCTGCAGAACAGCCTCATGGATAAAGCTCTCAAACCTGTACTGAGGAATCAGCACACTTGGGTGCCTGCCTGAACTGCCTCTACACTGATGCATACAACATGGGAACAAAGAGGAGGAGTTCGAAGTCTGTGTGCAGTTTCTGGACTATGACCTCCTTGGCCTGAACTGCCTCTACACTGATGCATACAACATGGGAACAAAGAGGAGGAGTTCGAAGTCTGTGTGCAGTTTCTGGACTATGACCTCCTTGGGATAATGGAGACATGGTGGGATAGCTCACAGGACTGCCGTGCTACAGAGAGATAAAGGTTGTTTAATAAGGACACACTGGCAAGCAGAAGAGGTGAGTTGTCTTTTATGTGAAAGAACAGCTGGAATTTGTGGAGTTCTGTCTTGGGACAGTTCAGGAGATGGTCAATAGCTCACAGGTTAAGATTAACAGGCAGGCCAGCATGGGTACTACTGTAGTGGTATATATACTACTGTGTGCTATAGAGCATGTAGTAGTAGTGTACTATATGTAGTAGTACATGCTTTGAACTTCCTAATTTGGAAGAAGTAGATGATGCCTTCTTCAGACAACTGAAGAATACTCATGTTCACTGGTCATACTCCTGACAGTGAAAATTCTAGCCTCTGTGATGTCTTCTCTGTGGAAGGATGATGTAATCTAGGGCTCAAGCAATCTAGAATTCTACAGTGCCTTGATGATAACTTCCCAAGGTGATCACAGAGCCAAAGAAAGAAAGGTGCCGTGGCTGATTCGATATGTACAAACAACAAAGAATTGGCTGCGCATGTGGAAGCTGCTGGCAGCCTTGGCTGAAGTTTGGTTGTAGACAAGTCAGTAGTATTGTCCCCTCAATATTCTAATAAACAACAGAACAAGTTCCTTGAGATCCAATGTTCAACAAAGAGCTACAGCAATATTTATTCTGTTTCTGAAGTTTCCAGAGAGAAGCTGAAAGAATCAAAAGAGCTAAGTAGTGTTCTGTGCAAAACACATATTAAGAAATACCTTTCAATAATCCAACACTCTGGAAATACAAAACCACCAATCAGTAAACCAGCTATCTATGTCAACCATTAACAACAGCCATAGGGTGTAAAGTGCCATACTTCTGGCTTGTACCACTGCAGCTACAAAGCCTAATGCACAAAAGTCAAAGGCTACTCCAACTAGAAGGGAAGGAAGGAGCACTTCATGAAAGCGGATTTGAAATATGAGTTGATACTTCTACTGTAGTAACAATAGTGCTACCAAATAACACTGGAGGATTTTTATTTCCTAGCACTATACATAGAAAAAAATGTTATCTATAAGCCAGTCACTTTTTGAAAAAAGGTGCTATCAGCATTTGAAGGGAGATACGTGAAATTTTTGAAATACAAAAAGAAGTTTAAACATGTTTATTACTGGCGTAGAATGAAATGGAACATACACTGGTACAGCTGCTTATACTATACCAACTTCTCCTTGTGACCTTTTAAACAAACTACAGAATGAAGAATGGAGTTTTCCATCTACTGATGCATAACAGAAAATGGAATGCTAGCAGTGCTTATTTTATCCGATTTCTGCATTAAGGTGGTTAAGCAATACATGGTTTTGAATATATATGTTATATATATTTTTTTTCATTCAAACATAAGGTATTTCAAATATCATATCATCTTAAAAGGAAGCAAACTTACAGAGCAACACATACCTGTTATACCCTGAGACTCTTTCTGTAGATCACAGTACCACAGTCTGTTCACTGGATCACAGCCTTCTCTGACAGACAGCAAGACATATCGACCATCATCCGACACCTGTAAGAAGTTACAGAAAAATTAAAGACAATTCACCCGCTGGAAAAAAGAAGTCCAACTTGAAAAGTGAGTTCACACATGCAGAAAAATCTAGTGCTGCTGTTAAACAAACATTACAAGCTACAACCACATTATAAATGATCTGATAAAGCTTCTTGGTTCACTTTTGCACATGCATGTACACACACACAACAGAATTTCTGAAATGGTGTCTGCTAGTACAGAAGGTTATCAATCAATCCTTCTTGCTACTCAGGCTTTGCAAACGTCCTACATGTCTTGACAAAGCTTCTGAAAGTGCAAGTCCAACAAGGAAAGGCAAAAAGTAACAAGAAGTCATCAACTCAAAAAGTCTCCCTCTCCTGACTGAGCTGTTATGACCATATTCCAAAATTACCAAATTTTGATGTTTTATTAACAGGGCTGATAGAGAAGGGCTGTTTAGTGTCCACATTCTTATATGACCATATCTACTGGAAATTTAAACCTCTAGTCACAAAATACAAATATGGGTTCTCGAAATCTTCCACTTGGCACTATACACAGCTTCAAAACAATTCTTATAATGAAATTACTTCTTACATATATTTCAGTTTGTATTTGCAACATTCGTTATGCAAAATATATGTAGAATGAGCTGTGCAAAATAAATTTCAGAAGAATTGGGTTCCAATTATACACCTATTCCAACAGATCCACAATTTCAAAGACAGAAGAAAGGAACCTAGTAAAACAGAAACATATTTCAGTGTATGAAAGTTAACAAAAAAAAACCCAACAACCAAACACTCCTTGAAATAAAAACAATCCCCAAATGAGTGTTTCTGAATCATATTTTTACAGGCATTTTGTTAAGAGCAAATTATACTACAAAAAAAGTCCATACAGCTGAAAGCTTACAAGATAAATAGAAAATAACACCTAAGATTCCTACTGTAGCCAAAAAACACTCCACTATATGAAACAGCAAAGACATCTTTAACAGGGCAGCCTGCAAAATTGAGCTATTCTGCCTTCTCCTTCCTAGAACCAAGTATATCCAGAAATGGAAATCAAGATTAGGTGCTTTCTTGAAAGACACATCTTCAGTGGTTTTAGGTAAGCAATAATTGCAGGTGTAAATTTTAATTAAGAAAATGATTGCCATATGTCGCTTAAACATCTGTCCATACTTGTGAAAGCACCCAGCTCCCTTCATTTCCTCACCTACTGAAAAAACTTAACAAATAATTTTAAGTTGTACATAAAAATACTGATTTCGGTCAAACTCAAGAGTATGACACACAAAAACTCTTTTAGTCACAGTCAGAACCCACATAAATTTATTCTTTGATTCTCTGAATAAAACTGTTAGGAGAGGACTAATAACTTCACCCAAGAAAGAACAGAGATTTGCGAATTTCTGATGTTGTTGCAAGGGCAATTCAGAATATCTGATGACAGCAAATCTGAGTACATCTAATTTTTCCTTCCATATACCCAGCTGGACTAGTTAAAGAGTTGGTAACAGTTTATGTTTAACTTGAAGTAAGAATTCCCAAAGCATCTTGCTGGTGGGATACCAATTACGTGTCTCTATCACTAAAACTATTCTTATACCAGTGAGTTCTACAACCCAAAAGAATTTGACAGAAACAGGACAGGATGGTTGACTGCAGCATACCAAAATGTTCAGTATTATACTGCAGATTTAGACATCCATATTGCAAAGTTACAGTTTGATAAGCAATCCTGGCAGCAGCATCAGCTTATGCAGTCTCTAGCTCTTCATACTGCTGTAGTTGCTTGTGTCCATGCAAGTTCATTGCCCATGTTGTGCCAGTACAAGCATCCACCATTTGTTAAGTAAACCAGTTCAGAGAACTGATCCAACAGAAAAAATTGCATATTAAAATAAAAACCAAAAATTTAAACCTCCAATAAACAGAAAAGAAGAAAGAATCCAGAGGAAACAAAACATCCAAACAAACAAAACAAAGAATCCAGAAGGGGAAGGGGAAAGAAAAAAACTTAAACAATCCACAATTAAAAAAGAAGAATAGAAGCCCCTCTGCCAGATTAGTATCTCAATCAGTTCACTGCTCAGTTGCACAAATGGCCAAGCTAACACACAGCAGCAAACAGCTGGAAACATGAATAACAGGGGCAGAGATTGCTCAAGGCAGTTCAGACTGCAGCACTGAGGAATGTGTAATCACAGCCCAAATGCCACTGACCCTACACTGTAAACAGGCAAGAGTCAGGGTTTCAGGATGGCAAAAGAAAATAGGACTTATCAACTATCATTTGAATTATTCTTACACTGCTACATCATCTTCATGAGTTGAGCTGCAATTCCTGCTCTTGGCTCACAAATTTATGAACTGAAATTTCCTACTAGTACCTCACTCAATATCAGAATGCATTTATGGTTCAGCATAAGGGGGACAGCTGCAACATCAGACCTGGTTTCCCACATTTAAGATGAAAAGGAAACATATCTCAAGAATTTCTGAGAGAGATCTGGAATGCCAGTCAATGCACATTTGTCTCATTAAAATAATTACCATAATTTCAAATAACACACACTGGTAAAAGGTAAGCAGGCTATAAAGCAATCACACTTCTTAAAACAACATTTAGTATCTGTCAAAACAGGACAGAAGAAATCCTGTAGCCTTTCAACTGGAGCTTTTAAAAACCTTCAGCATAACAATGATTTTACTGGCATAAACACAGTAATCTCTAATTCAGGACTAGTAAAGGAAGGATTATTTCAAAGAGCTGATGTTGGTATGTAGGTTTTAGTTTCATTACTACTGTCATTCGGTCAGTTGGCAATTTTGAGTTTGTTAGATCTACCATTTCTTAAATATTTCTTGTGACCAACATTACACTTTACAAACATATACAACAGTATCAGTAAGATAGCAGTAGTCCCAACTACTATTTTATCTAGGCTGTCAAGCATCAAAACCTTCAAATCCTCCTTTATAGTAGCATTTTGGTTTATAGTGGAGTGTTTTCTCTGAGTTGTTTTTTTTGCCTAGCAATTTTGCTTCAGTGTTACCTGTTCTCTCCATTTTGATGAACAGAAACCACTGCTAAGACAAACTTTAAGAGAAGAAGCAGTTTACCCGTAACTTTACTGCAATAAACACCAAAATAAGAAAAATTATTTGGAAGTCTAATTAGAAAAAGAATCTTCTAACCACTCAAATCTCATCTTTTGTTACAAAATACAACTAATTCATTATACAAGCCATATAAGGAACTGCAAAAGGCTTACGAGGATCCACAGAAAAAACAAAATGAAATATTTTGTCTAGCAGCAGCAGCAGCAGATTTCAGACCAAAAATTCATACATAATTGAACAAACAACAACAAAAAAGAATGAACACAAGAAAGCTGTTGGGTTTTTAGACTTCCTGGTTTTATGTATTGCTCAACTAAAATGTCAATATGAGAGATATTAGAGTGCCCTACTTTCAAGTCATGTGCATGCCAACAGTAAATATTAATGCAAGTTCTGTGGATGTTACCTGGACAGTCACCACTGCCAGACTGAGGATACAGAAGAGCTCTCTATATTTAATTCACAAGTAGGGGCCCTTAGATAATGTTGTATTCTATTAAGGCAATTATTGCCTTATAATTATACACGTCATTCCTTTATAGATAACAAGTGCAAAAGTTTTACTACCTTTGCCCTTTTTTATAATCAAAGTGGAAAAAACCTAATAACTGCATAATTTGTTTCTGTGTAACAAGGCACTAAAAATAAAAAAAATAAAATTCAATTATTAGATCCTATGCCTGTGTTGAGAAAAAGATAAACTCTCTTCTTAACCGCAGGCATTAACATTCTGGTAATCTACAATCTGATTTGCATCTGCAGTTATTTCACAAACTACTGCTCTTCATGCACTGGTACCCTTTGCATATGAAACTGAGCAATTGTCACTGCTATCTAATGCATTTCCAATGAAGCACAGCAAATGAATCACATACAAAAAAAAAAAAGAAATAAAAATTAAAGTTCACAAAAATCACAGACAGAATCAAAGCTTTCCAACAGAGCTAAAAGGTCAAATTACTAACTGTAACGTACCCAGCCATGAAAGATCAGATCATCCAGAAAGATGTGTGGCAATAAAGATGCAACCATGCAACACATGGAATTAAGAACTAGGAACTAAAAACTCATTGCATCAATAAGCTGGATTTTCACACTGCTACAATTTTCACTATATGCTATGAATGTAACAGCTTAAAACCACTCAGAGTAACTGAATATATTTTTTTTTAAAAATACTTATTTAGGAATGTACCCAGTTACCACAGTAAAACAGATTCATGACAGCAATTACTTCCTTAACTTTAGATATATTCTGCACAAAGGCTTTTACATAACACCACTGACCCTGGATATGACCCCACTAAGAAGAATTTACATGCAAGAAACCTTTCACTTGCTGTAGAAATTACCTCTTTTGTTGTTTATGAGTATTTTTAAGCTTTCTATCAGATGAACAAAGGAAAATATTATGAACAAAAACCCACAAGGCATGTGGGTTCTACAGAGAAAAAATAAAATTACTGTAAAATTTGCTGAAACATTTGGCAAGTAAAGAGCAATTACACTGTGTGAACAGCCTCAAGTGTTCTACTATCACAGATGTGCACATGCGCCAGTGCTGCAAAGATCTGCCTGCATGATGACAAAGACCCCCCACAGTTGTCTCCTAGCCTTTCAAATTCCACTTTTATTATCTCACTTTTTATTAGAAAAATCAAAGCTATTTTCTTTCCTAGAATAGGAAACCCTTTTGTAAAGGCTTGTGTGTTTTTGTGGGGGTTGTGGGGTGTGGTACTGGTTTGTTGTCTTTTTAATAAAGGAAACCGATAGCTACATTCTGATATTATCACTGCAGTGGTGCCAGAAAGTCACTGAAGCTTGCAAATAGCTCCTATGACATTTTATGTTCTCACAGTATTTTGAGATGTTGAGGATTAGGGCATGAACTCCCTCTAACAAAGCAACCTCTTGGGAGCTTTCTGTCTGCACAATCCAAGCCACCTGAAGCTGCTGCTCTCAGGTTATAAAGGTGTTGTTTTGTTTTCTGTTCGCAGAGTACTGGTTTCAGAATCAACCAGATTTCAGAAGCCCTAATGATGGGTGATCACAGGAATGCATAATTTCAGGATGAGGTCAAATATAATCCCCTTCCAATCCCCTACATTCTGAGGTGCAAGCCTGACACACTTTATGCAGGATGTGGACACAGTTATATGCAAACAACATTCTGATGTGCTCTATCCACCCACTCACCAGGTTAGAAAACTTGCTCTGGGCATTCATTCAAATCCCTTATTCCAGCTGGGTTTTTATTCTTGGATTTTAGATACAATGTGCTGAGACAAAGAGCACTTCTATTCTGACCATATACTTTTGAGCCTCTAATAACTTTGGGGTTGAGAGAGCCTACCAAAGCCAGAGAAAAGGGATTTTAAATTTTAACCCTAGAATATTGTGCTTATGACTATTACAATTCCAACAGAACACCAGGCAGCCTTGCTCTAAAGAGGAACACAGCAGTATGTACATACATATTTACATGCATTCTCTTTCCTAAGTCTATCACAGAATAAAATCAGTAGCTTTCTGGGGTGACAAACATCACACACATTTTTCACTGTGGCTTTCAGCCTGTTTTTGAGCAAGGAAAGCACCAAAGCATCTGGAACCTGGCTATGTAAGAGATTATCAGCTCCCATAGTGCCATGTGCAACCATGATTACCTGCCTCTTTCTTAAGAGTAAAATTCTCTGGGCCTACTGCCAGAGCTGCAGGAAGATATTAATACTAGGCTTCTATTCAAGATTCATCCTTGACTAAGTGTAAGGCTTTAGAAAAACTTCCACAGCCCTGTTTTACCCAGCAGCGTGTGTCTCACTAGAGCAAAATGACAATGTTTTCAGCCCTTCCCCTCCGTGCTGCTCACTTTTCCCTTGTGGATGATTCTGCACTGCTGCAGTGAAAACACTACAGCCAGCACACATCTGGCACAGCCTACTTCTCTGTGCTCTGAATTTCATGTGCAAGATCATCCTCATGGTTTCGACCCATTGATATTAACTGACAGCTCTAAATATAAAATTAAGAATTAAAAAAAAAAAATAATTCAGAGACAGTGCACAGTGATTGTTAAAAAACATGAAAAATTGTACTTATTTTACTGCTGGCAGAACTGGGATAGGAGGGTTCTCCTCACCCACTCCTTTCTGTTCTGTTTACTTTCCTGGTGTGGTACCACAGGGACTTCTTGCACTACCAACTGTGAAAGACTGTTATATAACTTATTGTTTAACTGAGAATAACAGTCCGTCTGTGAAAGAGAGATATGCTTATTCAGTCTGGAGAAGAAGCAAGAAAATGCTCCTTCAACAGAGAAGCATGGGAAGCCCCTGTTTTCCCAGAGTACATATGATATTGCCAAGGTTTTAAAAATCTTCATACCAGAGTGCCCTCTGCCGGGCTGTTATTCAATTAAATTCTATCCCTGCTCATCACAACTCTCCCACCATTCTAGAACCTGTACCAGAAATGCACATGCTTTTTCTAGACTAATTAAAAGATTTGATAGCCTCTTTTTCAAAACTTACATATCTGACTAACAATAAACAATATTTTTCCTCATGAACAATCCATTCAAGTGAAGAGCTGGAAATGCATCTATATTTCTCTGCCAACAGCATTTTCAGCACCACAGATTTTATTTAAATCAAGCATACTTAGGGTTGGTGTTGAATGCATAATAAGGAAAAGAACCGTGGAGCTATTTGCTTGCATACTATCTTGTAAATATATTAAGCTGACAAAATTTTATACAATGCTCTTTTGTCCTTATGAATGACCTAGTTTCTGATCATCCAGATCTTGAGAATATGAACCACTCTGACTCCCTACAGTGTACCTGAGGTTATTTTTTATGAAGCATCATGGCAACATTATTAATTCTGCAGTCTCTGAAGGATCTCCTTGTCAGGTGCTTTTCACTTGCAAGCGAGGTATTTGTCTTCTTTGACCTTGGTTGCAAGATTTGCAAATTCTGTTCAAACCTAGGTATGAAAGTTCAACTCTCCCCCCACTGTAGAGAAAGGTTTGGTACTTAAGAGTAGAAAACCCACACCATAATTCAACTGTTTTCACTGAAGCTTGGGTGAAACAACGTCTCTAACTAGTGGGCTAGCAAAGCTGTGAAATTAAAACATTTTTTAATTTATCTGACAGGAATGCATGAAAGAAAGCATGCATTTTATAACATGTTGAGCTGTGCAAAGTTGTATTTTAAAATCTATAGCAGCAGCTTAGCACCAAGGAAGTATATTCAGGACAGCAGCAAACAGGCATATAATTTGATTTTGACTAATGGTATCTTAATTTTTCCCCTATTACTTTGTGGTCTTCTGCTTTCTCAAACACTTAGAAAAACTGACCAGAAAACTTGTTGGAATAGGCTGAAAAGAAGACTTTTACCCATTGCCCAAGGATGAAACCACGTTTTGCAACGGCATTGTTTTGGTTTGGGTTTTGTTGTTTTGGGTTTTTTTAATTGCAGAATATTTTTCTCCTGATCATTAAAAAACATTTTTTAATCAGTATCACTACAGCAGAGCCACGTGTTACAGCTGGAGCTCACAGCACAACCTCAGAATACTAACTGTTTTAAAGTATTCTCACTTAGAAAAGTTAATTATTATTTGCAGAGGTGGATCGCTGTATTTCCACTCCTCCCTAAAATAGCCTTTCTTCCTAAATACCAGTATCTCTGGAAGTTTATTATGTCTCCTAGAGGTCATGAAAACCACCATAAGCAGCCCTACCCATCCTGTAACATCAATTTATTAAACAAAATCCCACATTAGGAAGGTGTTTCTCTATGCACTGTCCTTCCCACTTCCACAATAGTATTGGGGCTGTTCAACACCAGTGGTTTCAGAACTCATAGCTCTGCTACATTCCTTTACCCCCCTGTTCTAAAGCAAAAGCCTAATTAATCAGACTGCAACATGAAAAATGAATTTGCCTTCACAACATGTGTAGTTTAGCACATGATACTGAAAAGGAGTACTAAAACTAATACTACTACTACTACTAATAAGCATCACTAATATGAATAAGGGGATACATCATTACAGGACATATGTCACCAAAAAAACCCCTTTATTTATGGAACTAGGCAAAAATAAGCATAACAATGTCCAAATTCCATTTTATTGCCACTTAAACACAAACTGACTGGTTTTTGAACCGTTAAAAAAACCCCAAGTCCCATTTGCAAGGTTACATTGATATTCAGGCCAGTTGCTAAAAAATGTTTCATGAATTCATGAGATTGTGTAAATGAGGTTGTGGTTATTTGCAGAACCTACAGATTAAGTCTGATTTGTTAGAGAAAGTACAGTGTCATCACTTTGCTGGGAAGCTCTTCATATTCTCACTTACTGCCTCATTTTAAATCCCACTGTTCAAATTCTTTGAAAGAACCTTTGTTTTCTGGAAGCCTACAATAAAGACACCCCTAACATTTTCATGGGTTCATGTGTTGGAAAGTGACACAAACTGATGATCACATTTTTCAAAAGAGGTTATCACAGAGAAAAGTACGTAGGAACTGAGTACTCCAAACCAGGCTAAAAACAATATTCTTCAAAAGTGTCAGACAAAATAGAGACTATAGAAACAAAATGTCTTATCAAACATAGTAGGCAGGAGAGTACAGAGTATTAGAAGTATTCATCCACAAGAAAAACGTCAGTTCTCTGATAAATGGAATGACCATCACTTCAAAACAGTGCATTCAACTGCACATCACTAAATTTAATATGGGGAATAAAACACATTAATTAGGTTTACTGGGACTTTGCACTATATAGTAGTAGTTCAACAAAATAAACTTAGGAAATTAATTCCATTTCCAATAATACAGTCTGTACCATATGTGTGCTGATAAAACTTGCTGTAGGGAAACTTAGAGTTCTCCAATTACACACACAGTATTAACATATTTTGACCTGTGTATTTCCATTCCTCAATTAAGAAGCACAAATATATTTATTTTTCAGGGAAGACATTGCAAAATTAAATATAACCAAATAAATATGTGGCAGGGAATATCCAGACATGCTGACTATTAGAAAAAGGTTTTTGCGAGGGAATTAGAAGCTGGGGCTGAACACTGACCAAGAAGAAACAAGAACAGCAACCCATTATCCATCAAATGATGTCCTCTGTCTTGGAATGTGTATCAGGCAGATGGATCTCAGTGAAGAGAAAGAGTTTTTGATTGTGTCATTGCAGGCTGAAGGAGTGATTTAAAGCAAATTAGGCAGTCTTATTTTCAGAAATTCCTAATCAATGATTCTTAGTTCAATTGTCAACTCTACAACACTAATAAAAAGTGTTCTTTTAACAACGTGTTTTAAAATTAATATCTGCTATTAGTTGTTAGAATCTAAAACACAGATCATGACAGTGATATGGTGCAGGATGTTTACCATACCTCAGCTCCACCCATCCATTTTGGTTCATCAGGAAATTCAGCACATAGGATATCCTCTGACTGGTTAGTTCCTAATACGTGATAATGCAGCTTTTGATGCAGATTAGTGGAGGTCTCAGTGCCTAGTGAAATGCAGATATTTAAACCAGCAAGTTCTCAAAGAAATGCAACAATCATATGGAACCCTTAGAAACTTCTGTATCCCTTTCTATATAAGAGAAATTCAGAGAGAACTTCTCTTCTGAAATGGTTCCAAGTTACAACCATTCCCCTCCAAACAAACACCCCCCTACAAAACAAGATAAAACTTCACGCTGGAAACCTGTTTAAACAGGAACCCTTTCCTTTTATTGTTGATAATACCTTCTTGAAATTTGAAGGTTTATCATTTCAAGCTTTGTTTTTTAGAAATAAGAGCAAGCGAAGCGAAAAAAACCAAGAATCCCTGCCACCCTCCATTGAAACTTTCATTTCTATTTCACCCAGAGCAACTAAGGGGAGAGTTACTGCTAATTAACATTTCTAGAAACCTTCATACTTGCATTTGCTGAAAATATAAAAGTGATGTTAAAGCACTGCATGAGGTGCCACTTGATTATTTTTTTAAAAAAAATTTCATTCTTGCAATATTTTCCAAGGCTGGAATCTATCTTGCAAGTCTGGCAAAATTATAGGCTTCAAAAGCAAATTAAGAGGCAAAATTCAGGCTCTCTCCCGTTTAACAAAGAGCACATCTCCTGAAGAAATTTTTCAGTAACTCTGCTTTATAAAAAAAGCTGCTAAATTTCTTCCCCTGTGATACTCCTCTGCAAGTCTTTCCACTTTGTGGGGTGCTCCTTGAATTTTGCTAGCATAAATATTTTGTTTTGCTTTGCTGTGAACCACACATGAATTAATCTTGTTGAACAACAAAAACCTTATGCCTCACATTGCTATTCATGAGGTCTATCTCCATGAGCAGTTTATCTATGCCCACACAAATGCGTAAGGGGAAAGATTGAAGTAAGCTGTCACCAGACACCAAGTTCTAGCCAATACCACAAACAATATGGAACCTAAGTAAATCATCCCAGAGAAAAAGAAAAGGAGCATCAAACTTTTATGAGAAAAAGAGGGGCAGGCAGACAAGAAGCGACTTCCACTAACTGAACATAGGATTCGGCCATACAAGACATAATTTGATCTCTAATTGCACAACCAATACAGCTACTTATTTCAATAGATTTGTAGAGCTAATTATTTGTTGCTCCAATTCACTGCAAAAGTGATTTTGCTTCCACAGAGCATGCAATTAGAATGGTCATACCTACCATCACTTTTCCCATCTTGTTCCGGGTAGCAGTTATAGAACATGCCTTTTCCATCATGGGTCCATGCCATGCAACTGAATTTAACTCTCTCCAGTGTATCTGGGAGATCCTCAGGTCCTTCTACTTTCATAAATTTTATAGTAATCCAATCAGAGCCACTAGAACTCAGGCCATATGCAAAATATTCACCATCTTCACTGAATGCATAACCTAAGAAATCAGAAACAAATGAAGAGATCAAATTGAGATACTAGTTAAAGGAAATGTTCACCAAACACTAAGAGAAGGTTTATTTTCTAAAAACAGTGCAAGACACTACATCTGCTATCACTTGGGATTCACAGGACTTTTCCAGTCTCTGCGACTTCTCAATTCATTCACAGATCCAAGTTTAGACGCAGATACTCAGTAAGTGTATCCATGTTCAGTAACATAACTTATGCCAAATATGTGAATTATGGTTTGAATTGTATTTCTTCTACTGCCCTGAGCTTGGCAGGAAGAGCTAGAATATGAAAATGAACACTGGTAGAGAACTTGAGCAAAATTTTAAGAGAGAAACAGTACCAAAGAAGCTAAGAGAGATGCAAGCTATGTCTCCTGAAACAGTGTAAATATCACTTAAAAAATTGAGTCACTGAAAACTAGTCCCTTTAAAACCCTGAAAACTGAAGTCACTGGAAAACTTTGGCACTAGCATGCAAATGGTTAACTACCAGTATTCTCAGCTAAGACCTGTTGTCGCTCTATAGGGAACGGCTGACACACTCTCTTGTGAATTGAACAGGAGAGTTCTTTTTCTCTTAAGGTTTATTACATCAGATCTTCTTTTATAGACCGATACGTGAAAGTACAGAAAAGTAAAACTCTAATTGTTTAGTAAACTAACACATCACCATCACTGGTCAGTGGGGTTCACCACCCCTCGACCTTCTCTTGCAAGAAAACAAGGAACAGACAAACAGCACCTGCAAGGCTGTTCTCTATCTCTGAGGATTGTTTTAATTCCTCCTTATGATTTCTCAGGCCACTTTCTCAGGTGAGACTGAGAAAGTTATGTGGCCTGCTATTCCACAGGCACTATGCTGCCTGCTTCAGAGTTAGCATCCATAACCTGTGGTATATATTTCACTTTATCCAAACACTAAGGAATGAAGAGGTTCCATTGTAGTTGATAAAGATCAAATTCATGCTTGCAAATTAAGTCAGGTGAAGAGACTGAATTATCACAGGCCTGTACAGACCTGAAAGCAACAACCAAAAAACAATCTAAGAAAACGTTGCATTTCACAGACATGATAGTTTTGAGAGGCACCACTGTGCCACACCAATATATCCTCTCCCATAAGAACATAAGAGTGGCCATTCTGATTCAGAACACAATTCCGTCTAGCTGTCCTCAGAAGTAAACATAATGTGATGTCACACAACCAAGAACAACCATACAATAATGGAATGGTTTGGGTTGGAACGGATCTTAAAGATCATCTAGTTCCTACCCTCCTGCTGTAGACTGGGACACCTTCCACTAGACAAAGGTTGCTCAAAGGTCCATCCAACCTGGCCTTGAATACTCTCAGGGATGGGGCATCCACAACTTCTCTGGGCAACCTGTTCCAGCGCCTCGCCACCCTCACAGTAAAGAATTTTTTCATAATATCTAATCTAAACCTATTTCAGTTTAAAACCATTTGCCCATGTCCTATCACTAAATGCCCTTGTAAAAAGTCCCTCTCCAGCTTTCTTGTACGCCCCTCATAGGTACAGGAAAGCTACTACTAGAGGAAGCTGAACCAAGATAACTGTGGATACAATCTGGATCTAGAAGTATTCTTCTGAAACACCATACAAATCCACACAGGACTATTGTAATTACTTTGATAAAATTTTCAACTTCTTAAGACTGAGACTTACTCAGCAGGAACTGCTGTCTCACTAACCTCGTAAGGCCACAGTGCCATCATCAGAAAGCTTATTTGGATCAAGAAAAACTTTGGCTTCGGCATCCAAGGAGTCTTGTACGTATAAAACTCGCTGATTCTGGAGCCCTGTATTGTAGAAGTGAAAATACCTGAAAGAACACAAGAGGGAAAAATTAAGTAGGAAGAACTCTGATTTTCAGTTAGGCGACTGTATGAGAAACTTGTATGAGGTTGTCGTGAAGAGAATAAAAGACAGATGAATTGGTTAGGGAAACACAAGTTTCACAGTAGAGTAGGAGTCATGGCAAGGATGCATCCAAAATATCCTTTAAAAATACATGCTGCATTTTCCACACTGCATTTCAAAGAATTCTAAGTATACTATAAACTCCAAATAACTGTCTACGTTAAACATCTCTGGCAGCTGCAGTATTTCTCTGTTACAAGTACTGGCACAGGTTCCCATCCCTTATGTTCTCAGCTTTGTCATTTACACAGCTGCTTTAAATCCATACTGGGTGACAGACTTATGTTCAAATGAAACAGAACCAAAACTGTTTCAGTGTCCCTACAAATGCATGTTTGAAACAGTTGCAGGAACAGACAATTACAGTTTTCTTTAGTGAGTGATACTCTTCACATCCTAAGACACTGCAGAGCTCAAAGAAATTAACACCTGTATTCATAGAACTTTACTACACAACAACACGACATTAAAAAACCAGACAGCAGCTTCACCTGGGGGAAAAGGGGAGTTTATGGAGCAACATTCAAATCTAAAAATAAGTTAATATATTCCCTAAGACTGACAAATACTTGGGTACAAACATGGGAACTTGGTAAAACCAGAAGGGGAAAATATACTCACAAAGGCCTGGTTAACAGTATCAGCTAGTAATACGTTCAAGTAATAACAGTAATGTTCATCAAGTGCAAAACTGAAAGATTAAAAGAAATAGAAGAAAAAGAAAAGCAATTTTCTATACATCAGGCATTTTCTTGCCAATTTCATCTTTGCAATCCTGGGCAACAAGCTGGGAAGCAAAGGTCAAGCAATGTGACAGCCACTGCACCTCCCTGGGCAGCCTTCCTTTCTGCAGACTCTACAGAGTAACTCTTCAGACGCTGCCCTTTAGCAGCTATTCTTCATCAGAAAACCAGAGTAGCTAAATTTAAGAATTTCTGAGTGTCATGAAAAGTTCAGAAAATTCTTCAAACAGAATAGTTCCTCACCCCACACCTTACTTAGTGTTATTTAACTTGGTAGAGACCTCTTGATTGCCTCAAACACCACAACATAGGGCTTTTTTGTATTATATTTGAATTGCTCTGATTTAAATCCAACACATGCCAAGAAATAGAGTATCACTCAGAAAGACTAAAAAGACATCTATTAAATTTGAACTACAGTGTCATAAATTACAAGCACATAAGCTCCTGGCACAAATGTTCTTCCTGGAGGACAGTCAGCTGCATAAAATTAAGGATTTGTATCTCTTATCACTGCCATGAGCACTTCTGCAACATTAAGCCTTAATAGCACTGAAGGTAACAGCACCCAGGCAAGTTTGCACTGCACAGGGAGAATGGGTCAGAGAATCCAGAGCAGCTACTGCCCAGACCTGGTCACCTGCTACATCTGCATGAGCATCACATACAAACTAACAAGTTTTGCCTGACCCACACAATAAGGCATACTTCCCCAGATACGGCACTGTCCTAAATAGCTCCACTGCTTCTGGGCTTAGACCTCCCACCTCTATACACTGACATGTTGTGCCACATCCACGACAATTAGAATCCACATTAAATCCACCAACAGCTTGGGCTCACTCCCCATCATATACTTTCACCAAACCCCACATAGTACATAACTTCCCTCCCTTAGCAGCAAGTATCAGTGCCTTTCTCACAGCACCAGATCCCTAAGACAAATCCCTCTCAATATCTGTGTAGAAATCTTAAGGCAACAAGATATCCTCTCTATCTCATCATCTGTGGATAATGCTGAACATATACATGGCATATTTGGGAGCCCACTCAACAAGGATCAAACAAATTGAAAATATTGAAAAAGATTATCTGTGTTTCCCATGATTATGAGTGGCTGGTTGTTTGAACTACCTCTTTTTCAACTGCTAAAACAATCTTTAAATGTAATTAAGTCCCCTTACTCCCTTTCTCTAGATGCATGGTAGTGTTTCTAAAAGAGGTCACATTAAATTCAGTGGCAGCTGCAGTCTCCAGACCTTGGGTAAGACACAGAAACACCATCTCTTCACCTAGCCACAGAATTAAAACAGGGATATGAATAGGTTAGGCACTGTAATATAGCAGGATTTCTTAGTTTCTAAGAAAACAGACCTTTTTCCATCAGTTGCTTTAAGTCCTCCAAATTATTTTTCCCATATCCCCTGCAGCTACAGAACAGTTTTTCACATGGGAATTCCTACTGCTTTTCACTGACTATGACTGAACCAAAAAACCCTACCAGCTGCTCAAAGAAAGACCAATGTAAGAGCAGTATTCTATCTGGGCTTATGCGGTTTTCAGGTAACATGCCTGTAACTACACTGACAGTGACCAAGCCTTTCTGAAAGGAACCCTCAAAGCTCTACTTTAACAACCAATATTCTACAAAATTGTCTGTGTTCTGATCAACTCACAAATTCTTCCTCTTATAAAAAGAAAAGATAACAAAAGAAGAAGATAATATGATTGGGAGCTGCAGAGAGTGAAGCACCTTGTGCTCAGCATCATACAACCACACATTAACACTGGCTTAGTATTTTTTACTTCCCAGCTATAAAGAAATAATTACAAATAGAATTTATAATTTTTTTCCTAATTAGTAATTTTCCTAATTAGTAGTTGCTTCTGACTTGATTCACATTTATCACCACCTCCAAAGAAATTCCTCACATACCTTTTTCCTTTCTTGAAGTGGCAGCTGTACTTAGGATAATCATAGAGTTCAGTCATTCGCTCCTTGAACAGTCCTCTGACAGGACACTGCTCAAGAAAGGGTACTGTCAGCTTGTTCTGAGCCTCCACAAATGCCTGAAAGAAAAAATCAAAAAATATAAACTCAAGCAGAAATGCCTATTTTCTACAGAAAACGTTTTCAGAAGCAATGCATCACAGACACCTTTCCCCCGTACAGATTATGCAGTGTCACACATGAAAAATCCCACATGCTTATTTGCATTATGACAGAATTCTTTAATAACACTCAGCTTATATCTTGAATAATGGTTCTCCAGGACATACACTGGGGTAAGCAGCCAAAAGACAAGACAGTCCTTTTTCCTGCCTTTCCCTTTTTAAAAAACCCAACCCAAAACCCCAACTACCAAAGAAACCCTAAGCAAACAAAAAACCAAACAAATGCAAAAAAAACCCAAAAAGCAAAGTAGCAACCTCCAGAAGCACACCATGCTTTTAAAATCTCTCATTTTTGCCCAAATAACAAATATTGCCCACAGACTGCACTATTATTTCAGGAGCTAGGAAAAGCTTTAAGATTACACAAAATTTCATGTGCATCATCTGTTCATGTCATTAACATAACACACAGAATTAGTCCTAGCCAGTATTTCATGAGAAGCCCAAAGAACTGTTCACAGGTCAGTTCTCAGGAAGAAAATACTAATCTCTGAAAACTTTGGGAAGTCTGCTGTCTTTAAAACACTCCAGCTCCCTGTCACAAACACTTAAGGACAGTGATCAAAACCATTACCACTCTAGCTGTTTGTTGCATGCATGGAAAAGCTGGTGCTCTGTTGGTGTTTCATAATCCCCATTTATAGCATGGTACATTAACATAAAATTAATACCTAAGCATCTTAAGGTGAATCACAGCTGCTAACAAGCAGACATGCAGGCTTTTCTGTCTCTAACATGAAGCACATAGGACAGAACACTGTGTATAGCTGTAACTCACAGCCAAATGTTGTGGCTTCAGTGTCACCCTCGGACTCCAAGCCTCTCACCTCCAGCATGAAATCCTGTCCACTCATCTCTTGCTTACACGGTGCTCTTTCCCAGAGAAGGGTTTGAAAGAGCCTATTGTTTCTACCTGTCCTGAATCTGTCATAGAGCAATCAGTTCAACGCATTGTAACATCTGAGTTACACCTCCATGCAGGGCATGACCCATAGGAATAGCAGGGCTACAATCCACATTGCATACTGCACAACTTGTGCTTCACAGATCTTCAGAAAAGCCAGCTGCTATACAGGCAGAATACCTGGCACACACTTACCAGCTGCTATCAGTGTTTAGTCACGTATTAATTCTTCAGGTGAAGAATTAATATGTGCACAGCACATCCCAGTGGTAAGTCATGCAGCCTCCACATTGTATCGCTATAACTGTCCCCGCATCAGATGGTGAAAGAACTTATTCAAATCTACCCAAGAATTACGTGTATCTGAACTGGTTTTCTCTCAATGGAAACACATGAACTTCAAAGATCACATAGACAAAAATATGGACTGTGGATCCTACACAAATAAACTAACTTGTCCCAGTCCTGAGACATTTTCAGAGAAACGGTGGCTTATAAAAACATGTGTGAGACAATCCAGTGTAGTGGATGGTCAAAAGCACTTTCCAGTTACATGTAGGGAACAGAAACTGGCACGCATCTTTGTTTCAACCATCAATAACATGACCAAAATGACAACATTGCTGCAAGGGTATACTGGAACTGTGTGTTACCCACTTTTAACTGCACAGACACATCTTACCACATCTGCTTTCATTAGCGATATTCAAAGAAGAATCACAGACTTTTCCTTACAAGCATTTTCTGCCCAAGAGCATGCTTACAGACTAATTATTACACTCACAATTGAATCACTAGTAATTTTGCTTTTACAGGAACTTAATATATTTTTCTCATTTCCAATCAGTAAGCACCAAAGATTCTAAGATTACTTGTAAAAGGAATGCCACAGCTGTATGAAAAAGAAGCAAGGAATTACAGATTTTTCAAAGAGTTTTATGGCGAAGAATACAGTCCAGTTTGGAAACTTTCTGCTTCCACAGAGCATGAGGTTGCACTTATGTTTGAAAAGCAATACATAATTGAAATATTGCTCTAAGATAAAGTACAGAAACATTTATCAGCAGAAACTCTCACAGTAAACAACTCTATCCACCATGCTGAGCTAAACAGATGCCACCCAGGCTAACAGTACAAAGCTAACAGTAACTGTACACCCTTGTGAACCTAGAGAGAAAGATTTTTATTGTACCTGTAGATATTTGCATCTGACAATGTATCATAGGCCTTGAACCAGGACAGACTTTGCTAGCAGAAGAAATAACAGAAAAAGGGTCCAAGTAAGGCAACTTCTTCTGGCTGTTTTGGAAAATAAGGTAATTTGAAAAGCAAAACAATTTCTAAAGCATTATACTAAGAGTCGAGACAGTCTACTTGAGGCTGAACTGTCTCGCCAGTAAGTAGGCCAATTGTTATTCTAAAACAATAGTCAAACTAAATTTCATCTAAGAAACACAAAACACATGCCACAAATTCTTTTTAACCCATCTTTTTTTACAACCTATCACCTTTCTACATTCTGATAAACTACTCTATCAAGATAACTATTTCATTGACAGTATATTTTCCAAGAAAAAGCCTCAGAATAGAAACTGTTTTAACATGACTGGTCTTTGTTATTATACTGCAAAGTATTTACAGTCCACACACACACACACACATATATATATGAATATATATATTCATAGTCAAGGGTAGTTCAGTGCAACTCCTACAAGAGAGCACATACTTTTCCTAAGTATTACAAAAAAAAAAAATTATCATAGTTCTTGTGACTTGCCCCAGAGCACTTACTTTTTTAGTGTTTAACAAAAAATATTCAAACTGCAATTGGAAAATTTATCAAAATGTGAACAAAACACTGGTGTATTATAACTACAAATCCATTCAATTGTAGATTTGCGAGTTTCAGTGTCCCAATTCAAATATACACATGTTCAGAATAGTACAACTCAACCCCACATGATCCCTGCTTTTTCATCACTTGTCTATCCCTCACGTCTGGAATAAGTTCACCATTACTGCCTACACTGTCAGTGAGTTAAGGTACTGTATATGACTGACATGGCAGCAAAAGACTTTGCTGTAGTCTGAAAACGAATTTATTTCTCACAAAGTGTTAAACCAAGAAGCTGAAAGTCCAACTAAGCCAAGGCCAAGACAACAGTGAAAGTGTGGTGTTGCAGTTGTGGCCTATATGTCATTACCAGAAGTGTTTCAGCAGTGTGGCATGTTTCAGCTATGCTGGGGATGTTTCCTCAATCTGTCTTGGAAGTCAACAGCCAAACAGCAACAGAGCATGAACTCAGATTCTACACTTCCTTTCCCCAAAGTGAGATAGGAACTTCCCCACCTGACCAAGAGTTTGCTTTTATTACATTTTTATACATTACCCATCTGGAGAAGGGAGTTTGTTTGCTTATAGCTGCCCTTGACTCCTCCAACTGAGCGCACACAGGGAAAAAAGTTTTTATGTTTCTTTTCAGTATGACACAACCACCTTGAGCATTTGAACTGGCCAAGAAAAATGGTTGCAAGATAAGCATGGGTTTCATTTTAAAAATTCTGTGATCTAAGTTACACCAAGTGTTCCAGACTTTCATATAACCATAGAGAGGTCTGGGTAGGAAAAAATCTTGAAGATAATTTAGTTCAATGCCCCTGCCACGGGGTGGGACATTTGCCAGTTGAACAGGCTGATCAAAGCCCCATGCAATCTCTCCCCCTTTAAAACACAGGGACAAAACAACGGCATTGCTGTTGGTACCATGAGATACCACATGAACTACGCCTTCATTCACTATGTAAGTTTTCAAGAAGTATTTGCTGGCACTTCATAATCAGAATACCAATGCATCTGGTCTGTAAAAGAGAACCATGTGAAAACCATTCCATGCAAAGAAAGGTTACCTTCGTTTGTTCACTATCGGGATCCTCAAGCCAGCAGTATGGATCGCTGATTTTACATCCATGGTAATCCGACACCTGAATTTATAAAAGACAGTAATTTCACAAAAGACGTGCACACAAGCAAACTCTATCCATGAAGGAATGACAGTCAGCACAATGAAGGGCATTTGGGATTTCACAAAAGCATACAGTGCTAAGGAGCAAAGAAAGAGAGAACCAACACAATGCTCCCAGGTGAGTTACTAGTATTACCATTCTTTGGTGATGGCACCACAGCAGCAGAGTAGTTTTCAGAAAAAAAACACAGAGCACCAGAAAAATGGTGAAATGCACATAAATTCCTTCCACAAGACCGATTAGTAAGCAGAAAAGAAACCCCACCAACCAAACCAAGACTCTTAAGGTTTTCAAGCCGAATTATAAAACCTGATTACCCGACATACCCAAAATATGGTTCATGGTTACACAAATAGAGTAGTTTGGCCCTCCCTACTATGGTTGCCCACAAATATGAGCATAATTTGTATATATATATATAAAAACCATAATTTAAAAAAACCAAAAGCCGACCCCCAAAACAACAAACAAACAAAACAAAAAAACCACAAAAGATTAATCCACATGGTTGAATTTACCTGCTTCCTTCCTCCAGTACACAAAAAATTACTAGATACCTGCTACTAGGGCTTGCACAGTTCAGCCTTTCAGTCAACTAGGAAAGTAAATACTTCAGGATGTTTTCCAGCTTTGACTCATACTGGCAAACAATTTGGTTTAAATGCAATGTAAATTCTTCCTGGCCGGTGCACAATGCACAGCGCTTTGAGGAAGGGAAAGAAAATCGAACAAACCCATTTTAGCCAAACTTATATCGTAATCCCTTGTGTATCCAGATACGGTGGAAACACAGGGAGACGAGACTGTGTTACAGATGTGACATCCTATATAAATAGACTATCTGTTCCTCTGCTGACGCTGCTGCAGCCCGGGCGGAGGCCTGGCTTTCCCTGCCACTCGCACCGGTACCGAAGCTACGGGATGCGCCGTGCGGTCGCTGCTCCCGGACCCCCGGTCCCGCCGCCCGCCCCGGACCGGCTCCCGGCCACGCCGGCCCCGCACACGCGGGACGTGCCCGGAGACACCGGCGCAAGGGCCCGAATCCCGCCCTAACAAGCCCCCAGCCGCCGCCGCGGCCGCGACAAACCCGAGGCCCTCTGCACGGAGCACGCCGGGCGTTCCGCGGCCGAACAAAGCCCCGAGAGCCGAGGCGGCGCTCCCGCCCCGAGGCGGCCCCGCGGGGGATGGCAAACCGGGAGCCCCGCGCCCGGGCCCGGCTGCCGCCGCACGCCAGGGGCTGTCCCAGCCAGCGCTGTACTCACGGCGGTCTCGTCGCGGTACACCTCGGGGTACTGGAAGGCCTGCATGACGGGCTGCGGCGGAGAGTGGCGGGAAGCAGAAGAGGAGGCGGATGAGGAAGAGGAGGAGGCGGAGAGGCGCGCAGGCGGCCGCGGGGCTGGGGCCGTGTTTCGGGCCGCGGCGGCAGCAGCCGGCAGCGGGCGCGCAGCGCGGCACAGGCGGAGCGCCGTCGCCGCCATACGGCCGCCCCCTGCCGCCACCGCGCCGCTGGCACAGCGCCCCCAGCAGGCTCCCGCCCGCCATGGCGGCGGCTGAGGGGCCGGGCCTGCCACCCCGCGGCCCTTGGACTCTGCTCCCCGCACCTCGTCACCGTGCTCCGGCGGGCCTGTGCACCCGGCACCAGCCGGGGTTCGTCCTCCTTATAGCGAGCGTTTGCAATAAAATAAAATCTCAGGTTTTCGTTCTTTTTCCGCTCAGCTCCCCAGCCTTGGCACACGAAGAGACTCGGTTCTGGCTGGCAGAGCTCCCCTCCGCGCTGACCCGAAAACAGAGCTGCTTCCTGGGTAGGTTTGATTCTTTGATTCTGTGACTCAGCTCGAAGCTTTGATTCTGTGACTCAGCTCGAAGCCAGGTCACAGAACCACGGAATCGATTAGACTGGAAAAGACTTTTGAGATCATCAACCTGTGACCAGCCCCTTGAACACCACCTTGTCAAGTAAACCGTGGCAGTAAGTGCCACAGCCAGTCTTTCCTTAAACACATCAGGAATGGTGACTCCACCACCTCTCTGGGCAGCCCATTCTGATGTCTAATCACCCTTGCTGTGAAAAAATTCCTCCTGATGTCCAAACCTAAACTCCTAAACCAACATAAATCTTCCCTAGCACAGCTTAAGACGCCGACCTCTCTTCTGTCTCCGCTTGCCTGGGAGAAGAGACCAACCCTCACTTGGATAGAACCTCCTTTCAGGGCCTTGCAAAGAGCGATAAGGTCACCCCTGAGCCTTCTTTTCTCCAGGCTAAACCTGGCTTAGTCCGCTCAAACTTTCACTGTGTTTCCATTGAACGTGCCTCCACAAGTTTCCAGCAACTCCCCTCTGCCCTGAAGTGAAGGACAAGTTGGCTATCTGGTCCCAGTGAAGATGGTCACTCCAGAGCTCGAGCCTGGCTGGCTGCTGCCTGTCGCCCTCACCCCCGGTGTCACAGTGTGTAGTCCCACACCAGCCCCACTCTGGCCCGAGCAGCCAGTCTGGATGAAAGGACACCCAGTAAAGGTGTTTCAAGTGGATGACTTCAGGCTCATCCATGGGGTGTTTATTTTACAATAGCATTTTCTGGGTCAGAAAACTTGCAAATATTTTTCCTCTAGGGAGAGACCAAGTGTACTGCTCCTGCCCAATGGAAACATGCAGGGGACAGGAGGTGATTTGGTGACATAGCTGAACTGCTTTCCTTCTGAATTAAACTTTGCCAAGCTGTCCTGTCAGCCTGGGGAGAACTTCATGGCAGCTCTTCATCCAGGGTGAACTCGTGTATGTGTGGTTAATGGCACCAGCTGGAGACACCGAGGTTCATGTGTGGTCTTTAAAGGTCTGGTCAGCCCAAAGAGCGCTCATGGTTGTTAATAAAGTAATCACCTGGAATGACAATGACCTAAAACATTTTGGAAATGTCATCAAACCTTTATAGTTACCAGCTCAGAGCTGTGTCTTGATTGGTCTTGATTGTCTTTTCTTAATGGAGTTACCATCTCTAATTGGACATCCTGTGTAGAAGCCAAGGGTTGTGTACATAAAGAAATACGCCAGCCCAGTAATAATCACTGTTACTAAGTGACATAACCGTGCTCATCATCTTTGCTTACATCCTAAACAACAACTATGTGTCTTCTTTCCTCTCATCTCTTCTCATTTGGTCATTTTTCCTTCTTACCTTGTTTCTTTGTTAGTCTTCTCCCTTTGCCAGGCAGCAGGACAGCTGTTGACTACAACTACACCTTTTTTTCTGGATCTCAAGAACATGCCACCAGCAAGGAGGTTAATGGCAATGCCTTGACATGCCCAATGCTGATAAAAACTTGCTAATTGTCTGAGCAACTTGCTTAGGTAGATTCTGGCAAGCCAAGGCTGTTTCTGTCTAAAGCTTCCCTGACAGAATTGTATATGCACACAAATTTGCATCATGGGGAGAATTATTAGCTCAATACCTCTGACTGCTTGCCAGTGTGCAACACAAACAAGCTGTATGTGCATGGTTTTTCTGGGAGTTTTGGGCAGTCTACTGCAAATTAATTTTGTAGACAGCAGAAGCATCTGATTCAGAGCTGCAGTTTGCTTCATAAAAATGTCTTTTTCAGCCTGAAGATATTATCTGGGATGAATGTATTTATGTTTGTCCAGAATGCCTGACTATCTAGCAGCTTGGGCAAGGTTACATATGTCATTTATCTGACTGAACAGCCTGACGTCTCAATATCCTGAGCATTTCCGCATCGTCTCCGAAGATCAGCATCATGCTGTAAAAGCAGCCAGTCTGAGCTGTAGTGGAAGTTTTGGGCAGCTGTGCTTCTTCCACACAGCTGGAGCTCCCTGAGCTGGCGGGAGAGGGCAGCCTGGCCCCACGGATGCTCTGCTGCTCCACACGGCAGCGCCCGGTGCTCCTGAGGCTGCAGCAGCGCTCTCAGAGCAGGACAGGCTAATTCCTGAATTGGCTGGCAAGCGTCCAGTAAGCACAGCAACTGTCCATCACAATACCTCTCAATTCATCCTGCATGCAGGATGAAGGTAGGAATATACAAAAAACCCCAAGTACACAGCAGTCCAAGGTAAGACCTTTGGACCTGTAATTTTACTAGCAGCAATTTAGGTGAGCACCAGGGACAGAAAGTGAATTTTCTCTGTACTGTAAATTTCTCCCTTGTATTTTTGGGAGCAGTGGGGGGAGAAGGAAGTGAACAACAGCACAAGGAGAGAATCTACATTGTTGGATCTTTTCTTATCAAGAAAGCAGCTGATACAGCTTCACGTAGTGTCTAAAACACTGCCCAAAATATATCTTTCTTACAGGATGCCATGCACCTCCTGTACAGATGAAAGAGAGTGCAGTGTGAAGTCTGATAACAGAAATCCTTACAATGAAAGGTGTAGCACTCTTCTGCCTTTTTCAATATGCTTGCTTAACACAAAATTAAAAGCGATTCACAATAGGACTGTGCTATGACTGAAAATTCGAAGCTGATCTTAATTGTTAGTGTTGTAGCAGAAAGTAAATTTCTACTAAAATTTTACCTTTTCTTGGGCCTAACCAACACCAATAGAGTTCATCTTTGATATTTGCTGGGTTTTGAGGATAAGTTGCTGAGTAAGCAAAAAATTATCTTCCTGTATATTAAACAAAAAGTTTGAAAATCTCTCAGTAGTGTTTGTCATCTTATCACACTCCCATGTTAGCATAATTCTGATCATTTGCAAAACAGATACTGGTCTCTGCTGATATTAATTATAATTCTGCTGATCATCCAGTCATTAGCAAATCTCTTTCAGCTTAGTCAGCATCTCCACAATGACTCACTGCAAGTAGTATATTGACTCAGTAGGAAGTGAACTCGTCATCTTGGTCAGGGAAGATCTGACAAAAAATCTAGCAGCAAATTTTGTTTTTACCTTTCCTTGTCGCCCTTTCCCCAGCCTCACTCGCATTATGACTTATCAATTACTGGAAACATTTCTGTTATAGAATGAAGACACGTCTGTATCTTTATTCCTGTTTTCTATGCGTGTTTTTTATTTCATTTCCTTGTGTGACACCAGTTTTGCTGTTCAGACATTTACCAACAGGTGTCAGCAGAACCTCAGTCTTGTGCTACCATGAGCGTGAGCCGAGGTGTGCAAATAACTCCAGTTTCGGAGGAATGTGACTCTCAAATTGTCTGCCGTGATGGGTTTCTATTTTGGAAGCACTGACTCAAGAGCCTAAGTCCTGTTGATTTTCAGTGATCCTTTGATTCCTAAATTATGTTCATCTGGTCTACACATTAATTATGATCATTTTATATTGTTTATGGGTAATTAAAGGATTGCTTGTTTTTGAGCTGAATTATGAAATGGCTTACATAATAAAATATGGTTTTATTATCTCAGTCACAGAAACTTCTACGTGACATAGGTCTGGTCAATGTTTGAATGTACAATCAAGCAAAACAATGTTTCATTGTGGCAAACTTCTCTGTATGCCATGGGACAGGATGGGGTCATTGAAGTCAGTGTTGCACTGCAGAATCATCCTCTAGCTTGCCCTGGGTATGTACATTGGTGTGCTTAAATGTGCTTGCACTTCTGTGAAGTCACTTCAGTGATGTAGTGATGTCCATGAAGCATGAGCATGGCATTGCAATTGCAAAGTAGTATTGAAAGTTATTTTATCAGGTAGGCAATCTAAACCAACATATCTAAACTGTTGTAGGAGGATGAACACAGAGATCATAGTGTAAGCACATCCCATCCAAAATCACTTTTCTGTGAAGGAACTTTTTCAGACAGATGAAAGTTAAGGTGTTTTAGGTTCGCCTTTTCCTTGTACAGTGACCTGAGGTGAAGAATGAACAAAATTGTAATTGTAGACAAGAGTGATGATGAAAAATTTTTAATTGACTCTTTGTTATTATTAATTTTTAGCATATAATTTGCCATTAAAAGAAGGATTTGCCAAAAACCAGAGATCACATAGTAAAATCTATTTCACTGAATCTTGAATCAGCCCTTCTTCCACCTCCTCCTACTAAACATCACTGAAAAAGGAATTATCCTTAAAAATATAATTTTCTATTTAAAGAAATTATGTTAATTCTTTTGTGTGGAGAGGTAGAAAATCCATATTAGTAAAATGGAAATATAAGTGTTAATTTTCAGTATTTGCTTTTGCCTTTCCAAAGTATCTTTTGTTGTTGTTGTTGTTGTTATTGTATACCACAAAAAGACTTCATGTATTAACTCCTGCCTTCAGTGTCCAAAGCAACTGAGATAATCTTTATATAGAAAAGGATGACAGTATAAATAATTCTTACATGGCAGCATCTGAAAATGGAGATAAGTATGAGTCGAAAGGGTTTTCATTCTTTTCCATTCAGAAAATTTAAGGATAAAAATGTTCTTGCTTTGTATGAAATCTTCTGCCTAGTGAAGTCAAAGGAAGTTTTGTCACTGGTTTTGAGAGTGTTGGAATGTCATCCCTAATCTTGGCAGTGAGC